GTTGTCGCGGGCTGTGTCTGCCTGAAGCAGCAGCAGCAACAGCGGCCGCAGCTGCAGCAGCAAGAAAGCTTGCTGAGCGGGCCCTCGGTAGCGGGAAGCGACACATAATGACTGTCTCCAGGCTGTCTCCACACAGAAGCAGCGCTTCCCCGGGGGTCCCTGCCCCACTGCAGCGGGACTGGCGTTGTGTGCTGCTGGGCCTTCCGCGGCGGCCCTCCCTTGAAGTGGGGCGGCTGCAAAGACAAGACGAGAGCCACTTCAGTCTTTACCCTTACCAGCTGCGAGTTTCTGATTCTCTGGATGCATTCTTTGCTGCGGAAAGGAGACTCACGGCGCTTGCCCGCAGGCTGTTCGCGTGGGCCCCTCCGTTGGGCACTTCCAGAGCGCAGCAGCTGAGCAGCAGCAGCAGCAGCAGCGGGTTGGCTCTGCCTGCAGCCACGGCAGCCCTGGGCCGCCCCTCACAGAATATCAGCACAGTTGTAGGGGGAGTAACTGACAGCCTTTCTCAGTTGCCGGGGGCCCCCAGCCAGCAAGGAAGCCTCGGCACAATGAAGGGCCCCACCGCAGGCCGGCATGAGGGTCTGCTGCATGCATCAGCTCGCAGCAGCGTGGAGGGCAAGAGTGCAGGGGCTGTTGCTGGGGGAGGCGTTGCGGGGCTGCCGGACTTGGCCTCCTGGAGACCCCGGGGCCAGTGGGTGCGCAGCCTTACGGAGTTTGAGGGCTCTTGTTCTAGAGGCGTTGGCCTCCTCAGCCTCGCTGCAACAGATGACGGGAGAGTTCTCGCGGCCGTCCCTGTGGGCCTCAAGGGAGGGGCCATCAAGGCCTGGAAGGCGGCAGCCCTAGTCAGGGCCACTCGGCGTAAGTTGCGAAATAGTCCAAGTCCCCCCATAGTGCGTAGAATTGTGGCTGCCTCAGCAGTTTGCGTCCTCTTGCCCTTTCTTTCTGCTGCTGCTCTGTTTGCTGCTGCTGCCTCAACAAACCAGTTTAAGTGGCTGGCTGGCTCGCGAGTTTGTATTCCCAAGTGCGTTGAACTGCGAATAGCTGCAGCTGGGTGCAGCTAGCCAGCTAGAGCTTGACCTGTGGGGAGAGCCTGCGGGCCTCAAGTATTGCTGCAGCCTTTCTTGATTCTGCGCGCAGCGCCAGCCGTGGGGCTGTGGCAAGTTCCTCCCCAGCTGCACCTGACAACTCATTGTCTTCTTCAGAACACGAAGACATTAGCCGTGGGGACTTCCGACGGGGCGTGCCACTTGCTGCGGCTGGACAGCAGCAGCAGCAGCAGCGCCAGCAACGGCAGCAGCAGCGCAGGAGTCACCATACCCGGCGCGCTGCTGCGTCTCCCCACTCCTCGGCTGATGCCGGCGCCTCTGTCTGCGAAGCCCTCTGTCTTGCTTGGGCTGCTGCAGCGCCAGCTGGGCCAAGGCCCTTACTCAGCAGCAGCAGCAGCAGCGCGCGCTGCCTTGTCTTTGTCTCGTTTGGTGTACAGAGCAACGGCGGATGGATCGGCGGGGAAACGGTGCGGTGCAGGCTTCGCTGCTGCGCGCGCAGCAGCAACAGCAGCAGCAGCTGGCGGCGGTGGCGTGGCGTGTCTTAGCCATCAAGACACATCTTTGGAGCAGTTGCTGCTCTACGCCTTGCGCAATGGCTTGTTCGGCGGCTGGGACCTCCGCATCTCCGCTCCTGTCTTCGCTTCACAGACTCCGCCTTGGCTGGGGGCGCCGTCAGCGCAGGCCATAGGGGCTGACGCCCGCTGGCTGGTGATTGGGACCACTGGGGGCTTGTTGCTGCAGTTTGACTTGCGCATGCAGCTTGTCCTCAGGGCGTGGCAGCTGCAGCCCCCAGTGGCCGTCAAGCAGCTGCTGTTTGTGGACCCGTCTGCTGCGGCTGTTGCACTTAGCAGCAGCAGCCTCGCGACGGGCAGGCCTGCTGCTTTTGAGCAGCAACAAGATGCCCCAACCTGCTGCATGCTGGCCCTTGTAGAGCACGTGGCGTTCCCCCTGCTGCTGCTTGACCTGCAAGACGGGACAGTTATCAGCGCGTACAACACATCTTGCTTCGCAGACAGCACAGCAGCAGCAGCCGCCGCTGCTGCAGCAGGGGAAGGAGAAGCTTCAAACAAAAGCTTCTCGGTACCCAAGCTGGTGTTGCTGTCCATGGAGGCGCTGTCTCTGCCATCTGCATGCAGCAACATACTCCAGATACCACGGGAAGTGTCGGGATTCTGGGGAGCCGATGAGGCTCCCCTACACATGCCCCGGTATCTCTGGATGCCCCCACCTCTGAGGGGCCCTGCTGGCTTCGTTTTATCTGCTGGGGAGGACCTCTGCGTCCACTACTGGGATTTGGCGGAGGAGCGAGCTGTGTTTGCTGCGAAGCTGGGGTACCAGCAGCAAAAGCAGCAGCAGCAGCAGCAAGCAGCATCTGCAGACAGAGGGGAAACAGCTGGAGGGACTTCGCCGGACACCACTTTCCTAGACACAGACCTGGTGCGCTCTTTCTGTGTCTTGGGGCCCCCGACTGCATGCGGATGCCGGGAAAGAGATCGTGGTGCAGCACTAATGGCTTCTCTCACCATAGATGACACCCATGTTCTGCAGCAAGTTTGCTGTCGCTCGCCACAGGGGCGGCGTTTCCTGCGGCGTGCATCAGCAGCAGCAGCAGCAGCGAGAGCAACAGAAACAGCTGTTGCTGCGAGCCGATTTTCTGGCGAGGCGGAGGCCTCGAAAGGGGAGAACTGGGAGACTCTGCTGGTTGCTTCGGACTTGGGAGCGGAAGAAGCTAGCGAGGCTCCCAGAGGGGCAGGCAGTACATTTACACGAAAGGGCAGGGACTTGTTGGTGTTGGACAGAAGTAACAGCAAAAGCAGTAGCAGCAGCAGAAGCAAACTCGTCGGCGGGCCTGGGAGCTGCTGCTGCTGCATGCCGCCTCCCTCTGGCCCGGACTTCGCCTCGTGGTCCCCCGTGTGGGGTGAGGGGGAGGAAGCTGAGGCGCCCCAAGGTTTTGGGGGACCTTCGCCGATGCACAGAGACGCTGTCACTGGCATTTCGGTGATTGGCCAGGGAGACCTCTTTTTAGTCACAGCGGGAAGAGACGGAGTCGTCAAGATCTGGTCGTAGGCCCTGCATGCATGCATGCATGTATGCATGCAGGCATGCATGCAAGTCATAGCGGCAAAGCAACTGCCAGTTGCAGTGGCAGCGTCTGCCTTTAACAAGACGCGCCTGCCGCTGGGCCTCTGCATTAGTTAGTGTGTGCAGCCGCAGTACAGTAAGTGGCCTTTTCCAGCTACTGCTAATTGGAACACTGCCACAGTTGCTGCAGCTCTTGAGGGAGACTTCAGGAGCAGCGGCTCCTGCAGCTAATGCCATCAACTGAACAACTGATAAGTTTTTTTTTTTGATTGATTACACTGATGCATTCTGGGGACAGCCCTCAGGCGGAGGGTTCGACACGCCGTATGAAAGAAAGAGAGGAATGGGTTGCACAAGCTAGGCGAGCAGGTGCCTCAGCTTTTGGGCTCTTAGGCATCACTATATTCTTGAGTATTTAGATCTCCACAAGCTGCGGCCTAGTGGCTAACTGGGCAGTGACAAGTGCTCTACAGAGAGACTAAATAATGAATCTCTACGAAAACAGTTTGTTGCGGTCTTGCTGCGCGTTGCCACCTGAACACGAAAGTGCTGAAATGTCTCTATGTGCAAGGGTGTAGACAGAGAAGAGGGATGGTGAAACGAAAGGGTAGTGCGCTCTGTCTGGCGGTGGGCCGCGAGCAGCGCCGCATGCAGACTAGACGAATGAGTAGCTTTTGTGAAAGCCCCAAGGAGGCCTGGCAGCAGGGGTTGCTGTGGGCGGTCCTGAATGGCAGAGATCGCCAGTGAAGCTGCAAAGGGCAGTGGAAGGCGCTCCAGTCCAGCTCGAGGCATACACTCCACAATTTGGGGGTTACGGGGGAGACTTCCCAAAGCACCATTGAGCCCCTCGATGTGGTAGCTGCAGTTTCTGGGTTTCCTTGCCGCGAGAAAAGAACGAACGAACTTGGAACGCTGATTGAACTACTGAGAGGGTTAATTTTACCTTAGCTGAGAATTTGTTGGGACCTCGAGAACGCTGGCGCCAGCAGGATACCGGTGCTGCTCCCCACCCCAAGGGTTCCCTGGCTCTTCGGATAAGGTGGGCGCCCCTGGAGGCGCTGGAGCCTTCTCGTGGAATAGGGCCGTTCGGCTAAGATGCGGCCTCTGGCCACCGGGGTGGCTGCGGCTTGCAGACGGAAACGCTGTTAAAGGTGATGGGTTTGCTGCCGGCGCCGACAGCACGCAGGTAGACGGAGGAGGTTGCCTCTGGAGTCTAAAAACACAATATAAAAATGCTCCAGGGGAAGTACGGAAGCACGGCACGACAGCCACAAAAGACAGTCGTGAAGACTGGGGGCTGAGGAAAGGCCGAAAAGAGCCCCCTACAAACTATTCGTGCTCAGTAAAAACTAAAACATTACCAGAACGAAATCGGCGAGACGGACAAGGCTATCCGACGCACAGATACCGCAGTCGGTGCCTCACTGTACGTACACTCCGTTGGAGACAGGGCCGCACGCAGGCGCTTTAGCCTTCCATGGAGCTGCAGACTAACAAACTGGGGACAGATTCCAGCGGGAGATAAGACAGGCGCTAGGCTACGGCGCAAAAAATATTCGGTCTTCTAAGGACTTCACAATGCCGCCGCTTGTACTGTTGTTGCTGACGCTGTTGACACTGCTGACACTGCTGGCACTACTGATACGGCTGACGCTTCGGATACTGCTGACGCTGTTGGTATTGCTGACGCTGCTGACGGTGCTGCTGCTGCTTGCTGTGTTGAAGCGGCTGCTGTTGTATTCGCTGCTGGCCTACGCGGCAATTGGCAAAGGCCCGCAGCTTGGAGACGGGTGTTCAGCTCGCGGCGAGTATTTCCTCTCGGCATGTCCCGAATGCAATAAATCCGATCGAGACGTGTTGCTGGCGAACTTGTTACACAGCCAGAAAAGAAGGGTTCCAGGCATTTGCTCTGTCTCCTTCAGCTCTGGCGCTGGCTTCGGGGGAATCGGGATCTGCACAGTTAGCTGGCTCTTCCTTGGTCAGGAGGGCAGCAGCAGGTGTCGTTGCTGCTGCTGGAAAAGCACAATGCTGAGGGGGGCTCAAGGAGGTTGGGTGGTTCGGGTCCACTCCCACAGCGCGGGCGGCGCACACGAGCGGCAAACTGTTCATTGCCGACTCTGGCAGCTCCTGCTTAGCTGTCAGCCCTTCCTGGGCATTTCTTGCTTCAAACGGGGAGGCGCTGCAGACAGCAGGGTGCTCGGCATTCCCCCCTGCGGTGAAGGCGTTGTTTCCAAATGGAGCAGCAACTGCTCCGGAGTTGCTGCTGTCGGGCGGAAAGACGCTGGGGGCGTTCGGGTTGGCGTGGGGCCCGCTTGGTGCCTCTTCAATGGGAATCCCCGCGGCTGGTGTCTCCATAGGCAGACCAAGTCCGCCCAGGAAGAAGCCAGTCTGCTGCTGCTGCTGCGGATGACCCACGGGCTCCGCGCTGGTGCCGTATGTCTGTTGATCGCTGGTGTCCAGCATGGAGGGGAGGCTCCCGAAAGAGCTATTGGGTGGCCTCCCCGTGCCAGGCCAGAAGTACCCTTGCTGTGCAAAGCCCCCGTTGCTCGTGCTGGCCTCTCCTCTTTGGAACTGAGGCTGCACCAGATGGCCGGTCGGTTCTTCTATGGGCGCGGGCTGCAGCAGCTGGCCGTGAGGAGGCTGCTGCAGCTGTGGCTGGGAGGCGTAGCTGGCTCCCCGGGGCACGGCTTGCTCTGCCGGAGGGTCCTCGGGCTCTGAGTTGTTTTCGGGGGAGAGGTTCGGCTCGTAGGCAAAGGTCTGCTGGGCCTCGCGCAGCAGCTGCGCCGGAACGCTGCGCGCCTGGCAGAGGGCCTGCAGGCACAGCGCCCGGGCCTGCTGCTCGCCGTGCTTCGGCGCAGCATATTGGCGCGTTTTGCGGTGGCCGCTTGAGCGGTCGTGCCACTCCGCCCTCCAGCACCTGACACCTCTGACGAGGAGGGAGTAAATCCTCCCTATGGTGCGCTGCCCGTGCCCGCCGCTCCCGTTTCCGCTGCGCCCAGAAACCCCTCCTGTCTGACCCTTGCGGGACGATGCCGAGCTGCCGCAGCGCGACCGGCGAGAAGATGACACAGTTGAGCCGGTGGTTGGGGTCCGCATCCCTGGTGTCTGTACGCCTGGGGTGGGCGGGGGGGTGGCGTAGGGCACATCCGACGGGCAGCCCATGAGGTAGCCCTCTAACGGGGGCTGACCCGGCCTCAATGCCTGTTGCTGTTGCAGAGACAGTTGGGTTTCAGTGGGAGAAAACGGGGACGGAGCTGAGTACAGCATCCCAGTGGGGCCCATTGCGCCACTGGCGGGGAAGGGATTGGGCATCGTGGAGGCTGCGCCGCCGGCTCCCTGCATCTCCTGAAAGCCCAGGGGGCCCTGGAGACTTGGCAAAGAGCCCGAGGTGTCGCCTGAGCAGCTCATCAAGAGAGTCCCGCTGGCTTCGGGAGACAGCACTTGGGAAGCCCTGCTGGACAGAGACACTGCGGCGGAAGCCTCAGTTGCAGCGCCTTGGGGGAACTCCATGGGGGCCACCGAGCCCTGTCCCAGCCCGCCGAAGCCCATGCCACTGCAGGAACCCTGCTGGACAATCTGGGTGCCCGTGAGAGCCTTGGTAACAGCACTTCTGCCGCCGGCGGGGAAGGCCGCCAAGGGCGGAGCGGGGCCCCAGGAGGCCCCCTCTGGCAGTGGCGACTCCCTACCGTCGGGGCGGTACCTTTTCGGGGGAGGCTCTGTTCCTGCGAGAGAGGAGAGGCGGCTGCCGTTGGAGTTCTCGCGCTTCAGCAGCAGCTCAGATCCGTTTTTGGCTGTCCCGGTGACGTCGCTTATGTTAGAGGCCCCATTGGAGTCTCCTCCTGGGCCCCAAATGCCGCCCCCACCCTGAAGGCTTCCCATGGCCGGCGCGTACAGCGGCAGCGGGGGGTCTCCTGAAGACTGGTTGACCACCGGGGAACTCCATTCTCCCGTACCTGTGGGGTCCCCTGAAAGGGGTTCTATTGCTGGGTTTTTGTTCAGAAGGGGGCCCCTACTGGTGAGGGAAGCATCAGACAGCTGAGTGCCCACTGCTTGCGCCTCCAGATTGCCCCGGAACTGCTGCTGAGGAGGCCCTACAACATATGCTGGACCGCTCCCTTCCTTTGTCTGCTGTTGTGGCTGCTGCTGCTGTCCAGAGTACGCAGCAGATCCTTGAGTTTCTCCTAACCTGGGCAAAGAGGTGAACTGTTTCGACTCTACCTGCTGCTGTTGCTGCTGCTGCTGCTGCTGAGAAAGTCCTTGGCCCTCTCCCGCTTCATTCTCCCCGGAAACAGCTGTTTCTGGAGCCACCGCTCCTCCTTCAGCAAGTGCTGCGTAGTCTTCTCTGTGTGTTTTCTGCTGTTGCTGCTGCTGTTGCTGCTGCTGCTGCTGCTGGCTGAGCCGACTGTTGCTGGTAGCTGAAAGGTCCTTGGAGGCCTCTCTTTGCATCCTGCCCCTGGTAGTAGGTCTTAGAGAGGAGCCGCGCTGCCGGTATCCCTCAACAGCAGTTGTGGGCTGGTTCTGTTGCTGCTCTCCAAACGTGGAGAAGCGACTGTCTGCCGATGTGTCCCCCAGAGCATCATTGTTTTCCACCTCACTACCTGGCTTGGGCTGATGCTGCTGCAGGGGCGCAGCTGCTGCCGATGCGGGCGCAGGCAGCTGCCTTCCCAGTAAAGGGTCTTCAGCAGGTGCTGCATCAGATTCCGGGAGAGTTGTCTGGGTGGCAGCAGTGCCTGCCGTTGTTGCTGCTGCTGCTGGCTGGGGCATGCATGCGGTAATCTGTGGGGATGCACGGACCTCCTGCAGGATGCCCTCAACTCCCTCTTCTCGCACTCTGCGGGTGACCTCCGTGAGGCCCTGCCACTCCCCCCTCTCGACGCCGTCGGCGCTGCGCTTGCGGACTTCGGCCCAGAATTTCACTGCCACCTCGCGAGCCCTGTCGCCCCCGCCGTAGCGGTTTTCCCCAAAGTGCTTATAGACCCGACGGCCGGTCTCCGGCGACACCCACTCTACTCGCCAGTACCGCCGCGTGCACATCACCACGTGGTACACGCGAGGAGGGGGAGGCCGGGGCTGCAGCCCCAGCAGCCGCTGCTGCCCTGGGGAAGGGAGACAGAGGCTGCCTCCAGACTTTCGCTTGTACCCTGGGCCGCCCCCCGCGCTGACTGTACTCCCAGCCCCTGCGCTGTCGCTGCCGGTCCCTGGCATCATTTGGGTAGCGTTGGAGTCAACGAGGCTGCAGTCGCCTTTTCCAGCATCCATCATGAGAACGCACGACGCTGGGTCTAGAGGGTTGGAGCCTTCCGCGCTGCTGTTGCTATTGATGTTGCTGTTGCTGCTGCTGCTTTCCCCCTGAACTCCTCCTGTGCCCTGGGTCTGGAGTGAATGAATTGCTGCTGCGGGCTGCCCGGTTAGAGCAGCAACGCAGCCCACAGGCTGCTGCGTCTCTGGCTGCTGAGGAGGAATCCATGTTCCAGCGCCTGCTGGTGTGTCACTTATGCAGCTTACTGGGAGATTCTGCTGGTTTTCGCAGGGAGACTCTTCGGGAGCAGGAACGAGAGACGCCGATGAAGCAATCTCTTGGGTGCTGTTGCTGTTGTTGCTGCTGCTGCTGTTGTTGCCATTGCTGTTGCTGCTGCTGCTGCCGCTCTCGTCGACGGGGAACGCCTGAGTGCTGCCAGTCCCCGTGCCATCAGCAACGGGCGCACACAGCTGTGGCCCCTCAGGGAGACACTGGCGAGCAATCAAGTCTGAAATGGGTTCAGCGGCTTCACCTAAGCTCTGCATTGCGGGCATCTTGGATGTGTCTGACCAGGCCGAGAGTAGCTGCCCCGCAGACTCCTTGGGGTTCCTCGTTGCCTCTAACATTAAGGGGCCTCTGTTTTCGTGCAGCGCAGTACCCACTGCTAGGCCGCTGTCTCCGTCTGCAGCAGAGGAGCACCCTGGGGCGTCTGCAGGTGGAGTGCCCTTAGGCTGCTGCGCCAGCGGGTCCCTCTGGGGACCCAGCTTCGGGCTTTGCGAAGCCTCCACAGGGGCCACAGGGAAGAGACTGCCTGGGAGCCCTTGGACGGGAGCCGCAGCTTCTCCAAAGTCGCCAGCTGAGCCTGGAGGCTGTAGGGAAGCAATGGGAAAAGCATCCCCCCGGCTTCCCGAGACGCCTCCTTCGCAGGTCCCGTGAGTCCTTGAGCTGCCAGAGCCCCCTGTCGTGACTGCAGAGAGTAGGGCATCTAAGGGAGCCTCTTCCCCAGGGGGCTTTAGCGGAGACTCAGAAGATGACACCGAGGGTAGAGCCGCAGCTGAAGATACCCAAGAGGGCCCCAAAGGCAGCACGGGGGCCCCCTGGCGCTCAAAGGCCGGAGCTGCAGGGGCAGCGCCCGTTAGGCTGTCGAGGAGCCCTTCCTTGTCCTTCGAGGCACATGCAGCTACGCCCCCTTCGTTCTGCTGCCCCTGCGCCGCCAGAGTGGGGCTGCAGGCGTCCAACTGCAGCAACTGAGCTGTGGAAGAAGGGACCTTCAAGGGGCTCCCGTCGCGCTCTCTATGGGGGGCGCCACACTGACACTGCAGCAGGGAGAAAAGCACATCAGAGATATTAAAAAGACATTTGTAAAGCCAGCATATTTTCGGCTACGCTGCTGCTGGCAACAGCTCTACTATTTGGGCTAATGTCCACTATTTGGGCTAATGTCCTGCAGCAGCAACAGCAGGTGATATGCTTTGAGGCAGGATGGAGGTCTCAGAGGCTAAACCAAAACTCCCCCTCCTCTTCCTACCTTTTGACAGTAGCCCCAGCCCCTGCTAGGTGCCGCTGCAGCTCTTTGGTCCGTCGCCGCACACGTGGTACAGTGAGAAGTCCCTTGAATTCCGCCGTCAGTTCCGTGCAGTCCGTTAACGCTGTTGCTTCTGTTATTGCCGCTGCCACAAGTGGCTCGCCGCTGTCTTCTGCAGCAGCAGTTGCCTTCTAGAAGAGAGTAGAAAACGCACATCTGCGGGTCTGAGGCAGTATGCCTTGCCTGCTGCTGCTGCTGGTGTTTCTGTGGCTGATGCAGTTTCTGCTGCTCGTCTGGTCGCTCTGCGTCTTGTAGGCTAAGGTCAAGCAGCGCGTCTCTGCTTTCTGTAGCCTCCGCCTGTAGCCCTGAACTGTTTTGAGGCCCCTCCTTAGAAGTCTTTGGCTCTTCAGGCTTGGCCCCCTCTTGGGACTTCTCCAAAGATTTGAGACTAAGGTCTAGGAGGGGAGATGGCGCTGGAGGTGACAGCACGGGGGTCGACAGCGAGGGCTGCGAAAGCGAGGCCGCACCCGAGGCAGAGTGGTGCCTGCTTAGGCACTCAGTAGGAGAGAGGGAACAAGTCCTCATGGAGGCGCAGCTCCTTGTCGCGCGAAGCCCCGACAAGCAGTCTTGCAGTTCGGAGGAGCAGCTGAGAGGCGCTGAAGGCAATGGCCGTTGGGGCCAGCCGTCGGCTGACGCCTCCTGCGGGTATTTCGCATCCGGGAGCCCCCCGCGGCGGCTGCAGAGTCCCGGCAGCAGCAACGGAGAGGCTCCCCTGCAGCACTCCCCCCTAAGCCTAGAAGCAGCAGAGATGGCAGAAACCGGTTCATGGCAAGTGGCTGGAAGGTCACTGGCGGCGAGCTGCGTAGAACTCCACGATTGTGTCGATGGAGGAACAGGCCCTCCAGCAGCTGCGGCAGCGGCGGGCCTCTGCTGGTGCCCTCCTGCTGCTGAGCAGCACAGGCCACACCCGCTGCTGTCACTGAAACGTCTTGGAAGGCGGGCTTTGTAGCTGCACCTGCACAGCGCGTTGTCTTTGTGTCCGTTCTTGAGTTCTTTGTCATCTGCAGAAGCTCCCCAGGGCCCCACTAGCCCTCCCAACCGGGAATTGCGTCCGGCGTGAGCGAAACAACAACAAGGAGGTCTAATGAGCAGCCGTCGGCAGCAGTTTCCGCCCCTCGCCTCCTCCCCCATTAGAGACGCACGAAGGCCTCCAAACCAGAGGGCCCCACGCTCACGCAAAGCCGCAGCCGCGCGAGCAGCGCAGCCGCTGCAGCGTTGAATTTGAGGTCCTTTTTTGCAGAAGCTTCTGGACCCAGCTGAGAGAAAAGGGCCCCCGCAGCCACCGTCGTTCATGGGCACAGCCCATGGATGCATGCCCAAAGCCATCCCAACTTGCCGGGCAGAGCAGCCCATAACTGTGGGTCGTGAACAGCAGAGGCGCCTAGCCGAAATTCCTGGGAAAAGGCAGGAAGAAACGTGGGGGGAGCGGCGGGGAGCCTGCTGCAGTCTGCCCATAGTTTGCCACGCAGAAAAGGAACCCTCGGGGCGCAAATGCTGGCACCCCCAATAGACAGTGGGAGCAATGCAAGGGCCTAGGGACTCGCAAGCCTCTGCATCTGCGGCTGGGCCATACAGTGACTGCTCGTCATCGCTTATGCTTGGCAGCATTTCTGGAGGAGGCAGAGAGGCCTCAGAAGACGGCACGGGACTGCCTCCCACCAGCTGGGGGCCCTCAAGGCCCTCCTTCTCAGGGAGAGCCCCGTCAAGACGGCTCCAGGAACGGCCAGGGGACCGGGTGCAGCAGCACGGAGGAGACAACGCGTCGCTGTTAATGGCGTCCAGTTCGTCGTGAAGCATTCGTTCTGTCAGACTCGGCGGGGTGTACATACAACGAGGGCTTCCGGGGTCCGCGCTGCTGAGGGCCGATAGGCAGCCCCGGTCCCTCAGCTCGTGATGCTGCTCGGGGCTCTCGGGACTCAGAGGGGGGTTGAGGGAGTAGAGACTACAGAAGTCCCACACCGAGCTCGAGCGGCCCTCAGTATCGGCTCCTGTTTCTATTGGCGCGGGCCCTGTGTACCCCGTTGGCATGCGCTGGAGAAGCCACTGCGTCTTCTCCAGCCCAGGAGGCTGCAGCTGAAGAGGCAACAAGGGGTCTCCCCAGGTAACTCCCGGGCTGGTGCAGGGAGCGGACCCCCTGGCAGATGTCCCCGGGGGCCCCTCCTGTCTGGTGAGGGCCTGGTAAGCCGGCAGCACCCAGGGCGCTTTGCTGGGAGAAATGCATTTCTGGCCGCCGGCGCCGCCGCCGTCTTCTTTAGGCACGAAGTTGCCGTTTTCCTGCTTGTCTTGCGGAGGGGCCCCCAGCCCAACGGAAGACGCCCTGGCTACCTCTGGAGCAGCGGCAGGAAGGGGGCCCCCAGGCTTGTCCTTTGAAGCACGTAGCCCGGCCTCAGGTGACAGCGCTAGGGAGGTAACTCCCCCGCGGCTTCTGGAGCTCGAGGATGAGGGAATGGAAGACACATGAGGGGAGCCTTGTGATGAGGCAGCTGCAGCAGCCAGGCGGACACAGACAAGCAAAGAGTGAGGTCTCAGTGCGCAGTCCTTGAATTCATTGACTCCACTGCTTCGTGCTTGTACGGCTTTAGCGCCTGCAGCGCATGCTGCACAAGCCTCCTAGCATCAAAATGAAAAAACCATACGGTGGTATATTTACGTAAAAGACCAGAGAGCAGGAAGAAATTGAGCACTTAGGCAGGTGTAAAGGCCAGTTTCGGATACACTCAGTGGTGTTTTCCCCTTCACGTACAGGGGCCATCTTGCAGCGCAGCGGACTCTAGAGAAGCCCCATCTCGGGGCAAGCCTGTGGAGCTGCGGCCTTGGTTGCCTTGCGGTGCATTTGTATCAGCAGAGGCTCTGCTGGGGCTGGTGGTGGCGGTGCGAAGGTCGGGGACAAGAGTCTTTGTCTCCGGGTGTGTGGAGGCAGAATCAGGAGGCGGCTTGAGCAGCTCTGCCATTTCCACGGTCTGGGTAGTCTCCTCAGGATAAGGGCCCTCAGATGTAAGGCCCTCAGGGTGGGGCCCTCTCGCAGAGGTGCCCGTAGAAGAGGGGCCCTCAGTAGAGGGGCCCTTGGAAAGAGGGGGCTCTGGCTGCTCGCTATTTTGGAGGGTTTGAGTACGAGACAGTTGGGCGTCGGGCGATCCGGCGCAGAGAGCCTGAGGGCACAGCTGATGTTGTGGGGGCGAAGCCGAGATGAAAAGGCGGAGGCCTGGGGGCTCATCTTTGAAAGCTTGTTGAGGGGTCGGGGGGCCTCCATAGTCCGCAGACAGAGCCGCAGCAGCTGCCTTCATGGATCTGCCTAGCGCACCCACCCCAGACGCCCCTACTGTCTCTGACGCAAACACTTGTGGCTAGGAAAAGGCACAAACGCAAAGACACACGCACAGCCACGCTGCAGCAAACTAGGTGGAATCCGGCAGCAGGAAACAGCCGCAGTGTGCACCTGCAAGCGCAACTGTCCTCTGTGTAGAGAAGCATATGCAAAAAAGAAAGCAGTTAAACGCTTGATAGGAGCTGAGGTCGAGAGACGCAGCTTCATATACACATTTTGGTGTAAGGCGCGTGCATGCTTTGGGAGGCATTCACGCATTCAGCAATAATATGCATGAATAAGTGTATGCTGAGGCTGGCTAGCTTTACTGCTGCAGCTAGCAGAGTATACAGAGTGCTGCAGAGCAGACTGCATTCACGCATTCAGGAATAACATATATGAATAAGTGTATGCTAAGGCTGGCTAGCTTCACTGCTGCAGCCAGCAGAGTATACGGAGTGCTGCAAAGCAGAGGAAGCAGTCGTAGAAGCACTTACTCACTGCGACCCATCGCCTCCTACAGGCCCCCAAGCTCCACTGAGCTGCAGCAGACACCCAAATAAATTTTGCTGCCGTCGTTGCACACTGCTGCTACGCCTGCTGCAGATGCCCCGCGAGAGCAAAGGCTAGAGACAAGAAAAAGGAGTAATTTGGGCAGAAAGGCCCGAGGAAAAGCTGCAAAACACTCACACCTTCGGGCGCCGCCTCAACTTGGCGCTGTGTTGCGGCTGCTCCTCCTGCTGCTGGAAAGGTCCGTCAAGCCCAAGCTGGACAGAGTCTCCAAGGCTCATTGGGGTCTCGGCCGTGAGTCAGAGACAGGTTCAAAGGAAGACATGTATTTGCCCCGCGCCCTCAAAATAGAGAAAAATGGGGCGCATTCGTTTGCTGTTCTCTCTGGAACCCCAGAGACGGCGAGGGTCACCTCTTGGATAGGAAGGGGCCCCCAGGGTGTCCTGGACGGAACTGCAGGAGATAGAGGAGTGTCTTTATTTGTATCTAGAAGGGGCCCACGGGAGCAAAGAGACAGAGGCCAAGGCCGCTGGAAGTGACCTTAGGTAAGCCGGAGTTGAGCATGGGACCGCCAGGCCCCAGCGGGCGACTCAGCCGCCCGCTGACTATATTTTGAGTAGTTTGCGTCGCCTGCCTCTTCACTGGCTTCTTTTTGTCTGCTGCAGTTTGTCTTCTGCAACAACGCCAGCACCTTCGCCCGCGCCCTCCTCGTGGCCATGCCCAGCAGGGGGTCACAGGTACAGCTCGGGCAGCTGCCGAGGCCACGCCTGAAGCGTGAGAGACACAAAACGGGTCTTGAAGGGCCCCTCTAAATTCTCTGAGGGCTCTGGCTGCCTCTGCAGGACTCTGTGGAAGCAGCTGGGCATGCCGCCAGCCATGGAGACGGCAGAGACAGCGCTCGGGCGAGGCGGCTTGTAGGCAGCGGCGCCAACGGATTCGAGGCCTCTATAGGTCTCCCAAAGAATTTAAATGGGTATTCCACTTCCTCTAAGGGTTTATTTACGAAAAACCGACAACAAGAACCCTTCTGGTACCCTTGCCTCATCCACTGCTCGGCGCCGCCGAGCAGCCGTCGGCCGCGCCCCCTTGGGACCGCCGGCGGCGGCGGCGGGTATGGCTGGCCCAGCCGTGCCTGAGCCTATGCGTTAGTAGGGGCCACAGGCTTAGCCTTCTACATTTTATGAATTACTTCAAAGCTCCTGAATGCTTTTTTACAAAAGACAGGCGACGAAGACTTCGTTTTCTCTCCCTGTGCTTTTCCGGATCCCCGAGACCGCTTGCCAGTTGTTGCAGCCCTGGGGGCCCGTGAGTCGCAGGTGAGACACTGCCGACAGCAGCAGTCCTTCCCCCTTGTTTGTGACCGAATGAGAGCCAAATGGAGTAAACTTAACCTAAGTGGACTGTTTAATTGCGTCCGGAGACACAGCCGATTCATTTCAGCCCTTCTGGCCGCGCCTTCACAGCAGCGGCACAGCGCAGGACTTGCCTTAGCTACACAGCGGGCTAAGCTCAACCAGTGAGTTACTTCTACACCTCTACTACAGCAGTCCGAAGGAGGAGTCAAGGCTGAAAAAGAAACAACAACCATAGCCAATTGTGCGTCTAAAACAGTCAAGACAAGGGCTCATACACACTTGTCTTTTTAAGCCCCCAAAGGAGAAAAACAATGCATTTGTTCCCGTGCGCGCATAACCCCAAGCAAAAGGAACACAGAAACGAACTCCTATTAAAACCAAACACCCTGTCCTTTTCCTGCGTCCTTCTAGTCTGCGGCAGGAAGCGGCAAGCACGGTTTAGCTGCTCGACACCATTTCTTAGTCTCAGCTAGCCAGGCCAGTTGGCCATGTGCACAAGCGAGCAAGCACTGGCTACAGAACGGCCCCTTAGGGGCCACTGTGAAGCTTCTCGCCAGTCGCCAGGCAGGGACCTTCATGTAGGAAAGACTCTCGCTGTATCTCCCAATTCTTTCTCCCGCAGCGACTCAAGAGAGAATCACAATAGCCGTGTCACAACTGTCAGACTTAGCAGGGCCCCACAGTCTCTCGTGGGGCCCCGAGGGCAAGTGCAACAGAAGCACCTGGGGAGCCTCTGATCAAAAGCGCCGCTGCTTCAATAGCAGCTGCTGCCGCTGTTTCGCCCTCCACCTCAGCAGCCAGTCTTTCCAGCAAGACCCTTACAAAGACCCACAGCGGCATCCTCAGCGCCTCCAGAAGAGCTAGCAGGGGCCCGACGGAGAGGAGTTGACTGAAAACTGTCAGCAGGGCCTCACAGTGGGCCTGCCTTGAAAGGCTCCCCAAAGGCTAACTTGGGGGGCCCTAGAGGGCCCTCTTGGTACGCCTAACTCAGCGTTCCCCACAGCGGCGCCCTTGAGTTCTGGAAAAGCTCTTAACTCTTCAAGTGGCTTCGGACAGAAAGAGATAAGGCTCACTCTCTCCCCCAAGATCTCCCCCTGCCCGTCTCGCTGTAAAATAAGGAGCACTTTGTTGACGGGTGGTAATTCGCAGGCCGCCTTTGTCACTGGGCACAGACAGTTCCCCGTGGCGTCATTCCTCGGGGGCACCCCAGCGGGCCCCCGAGCCTCCGGCCAGCCCCCAGGCTGGCCTCATGAAACCCCAGCCCTGCCAGGGCTGTTTGGCTAAAGAGCAGTAGGCGGCAGAAGTCTCAGAATAAACTGAGAGGACTTGGCGGGCATATTTTGCTCGTGGCCTTAAGAAACGCCCCCCGGCAAAGGCCCGCCGCCGGGAGGCGCCAGACTCAGAGAAGACAGCCGCTGGCCAGTCAGCTTGGTGCAGGCCTCTCCAGCTTTGCCCCCCAGAGGAGGGGTGAAGAGGGGCTGCAGCGGGCCGGGGCCGCTGGGGGCCTCAGCAGCAGCGGGGAAGGGGCAGGGGGTGCTGCGCGTCCGGGTGAGTCTGCAGGGCGCGGGCGCCCTCCCTGGGGCTGAGACCACGGAGTGGGGAGGGCTGGGCGGCGAAGAAACGCCTGCGGGGTGGGCTGCTGCTGCTGCTGCTGCTGTGCCTTCGTCTCCACAGGCGTCCGGGAACATGCCCTCCGCCCAGTACTGGCTCAGGCGCTGCAGCTCGATGAAGGCGCACTGCTGCGCTGCAGTCTGGGGACTGCCGTTGTCCCCTTCCGCGACCTCCAGCAGCTCGCCAGCATAGAGCAGCGAGGGGTCTCCAACGACCTCCGCGAGCCGCTCCCGCGGGTCTGCAGCAGAAGAGAAGAGGCCCTCGGAGGCCCTCGAAGCCACGCGCTGCAGGTTCAAAGTGATCTCCGCCTCCAGCTGCGCCGACACCAGCTTGTGTCTCTGTCCCCGCGTGGACAACGTGGGCAAAGAGGAGACAGCCCGAGCTGCGTACTTGCGGCCTGTGGGCCCCAGGGGGCCCCCCCCGGCCTGCTCCGCAGTGCGGCGGCTGTGGGCAGCCGCCAGGCACTGCAGCAGCTCCCCCTGCGTCACCGGCAGGGGCCCCGTCAGGCCCTCCTGCACGTCCATGCGCTGCGGGATGTGCAGCTCGCGGAGACACTCCTGGAGACAACACCCACAGCAGCCATCCACAGCAGCTGACAGTCATGCAGAGGCAGAGGCGGGAGACAGGGGCTGAAAGGCAGCAACAGAACGGGAGGAGATGGAAGCAAACAGAGACTAGAAGCAGCTAGCACCTACTGCAATGCATGCAAAGAAACAGACACAAAAGGAAACAACGAAAGGCGGCGAGCCGTCACGGCGAAACTGCAGCAGCAGCACGAGGGGGGAGCTTTGCAGACAGAGACAGAAGCAGCAGCAGCAGTGGCAGCAGCAGCTATGGGGACTTAGCGAAAAGAGCACTCACAAGAAGAGAGGCTGCAGAGACTGGGTATCTGCCCTCGGGGTCCGCCTCTAGTGAAGACAAAACGGCCAAGTAGGGCATCAGCTCTGTCGGCTTCTGCGCCCTCAAGACTGCCTCCAAGTGGTACTGGTAGGCCCGGTCTCGCGCTGCAGCAGCAGCAGCGCAGCGCCGCATGCACCGCTGGTCAGGCAGCAGCAGCCACGCGTAGCCACCCCCGCAAGAACCCCTTTCGGCAAACACGAATGCCATCGAATTGCGGAACTAAAGAGCGGGGAGAAGCTCTAAACTACAGAAGCAGCAGCAGCACAGTGCAGCAGCAGCAAGTGCAGCTACGGGCGCAGCAAAGGCAAAAACTTACAGGCCCAGACCGGAGCCAGCCGGCGCAGCGAGCGCAGCTGCATTAAGATGATCCCCTTGCAGTGCAGCAAGTACTCGTGCGGTCTGCCCGTGCTGAAACTGCTGCTGCTGCTGCTGCTGCTAGGCCTCCCCAGTGGGCCGCCCTCTCTCGCTGGGTCATCCAAGTAAGCCGCCACCCACAAGTCCGCCAGCCTGGCGTCCTCTGGCCCCACCTTTGCGAGCGCCTGAGACAAAGAAGACCCGCAAGCTCCTTTGCTGGCGCTGCTGCTGCTGCTGCCGCCCCACAGGG